CACATCACCCCAACCAACCACCCCACCCACTAACCCCCCGCCCCTCAAAACAGTGCGTCGACATAACCTTCGCCGAGCCCGGCGACCCGCGCATCCCGCTCATGAACGAGACCAACTGCTTCAACAGCACCGACATCGGCGCCGCCGACATCTATACGCTCACCATGCGCGAGTCGGGCGAGTCGCTCGCCGCCAAGGCTGCCAATGCCGCGTCCGACCGCTTGGTGCAGCGCCTCGCGTATTGGGCGTACGTGCCGCTGGCGTTGGGGGGTATTTGGGCTCTTCTTTGAAAAAGGGGTGGTTAAGGGGTTAGGTTAGGGGTGGTGGCTGTGTGTGTGTGTGTGTGTGTGTCTTGCCCGGATGCGGGTTGTATATTTTGGCAGGCCTCTCTCTGGCTGTCTGGGATGGCGTTTTACGGGAAATTTTTGTCTTGGAAGGGGTTGGGTATATCCGGTTGAGGTCTTCTTTTTTCGACTTATTTCATTTATATCGTCCTTGGTTGAGGAGGTATTGAGTCATCTGCCTCTTTTTTGCGGGCGGCTGAGTCCGTTGCCGTAGTTGTGGGATAGATATTTGTCACCAAAATTCTATGATGACTGGTTCGAACAAACCGCTGTTTTCGTTCCTGTTACCAGCAAGTCCATACCCACTCTGCCTCTTCGCCGCCGGCTGTCCTTGTACTCGAAGCCATTACAGCCCCTGATCTTGCCTTCTTTGGCCAAGTTATTATCCCCGAATCCAAAACCGGAGCCGAGCTTATGACTGGTGTCACCAGCCGCCGGGTCTAGGAATAGGGGCGTTTCAACCACGTCGGAACCTGGGCCCATCACAGTGGTAGGCGGTACTCGGCTCAACCCCCTTCGGGTCTTGGACTTATAATCATGATTTAGTAGTATTGTCACTTGTGCTTTTGGACGGGTACACCTCGGATTTCTTTGCCAAGTGTATTTGGCTTGGATCATAGTAGCCGTGGTCTGGTCACCGTGTTCCGGTGGCATGGGGTTGAGGATAACTGGTACACGAAAAGACACGGCACACCAGACTGTCCTTCGGGGTGTATATTTCTAGCGGAGCTAAGGTACTGTGGTCCCCTATGCAAGCAAAGATACCATTTGCCTTGGTCCCGCCGAGCCAGGACACAGACAAGGAGGGATGATCATAAATCATATCTTCCTCTTGACGGTTTCTGCAGAAGGCTAGGAGAGGGACCAAGCACTGGGTCAAGGCCTCACTCATCTCATACACACACTTCGCATTACACACACCTCTATTCTCACCACGGAACCGCCATGCCCTACTTCCTTAGATACGCCGAGCACTCCTGCGCAACCGCCTTGATCCTCGCATCATCCGATTTCTTCGCTGCCGCCGCCGCGAGCTCACGAAGCCCCAGGACCTCGGCCACCTCCCGCGCGTCCCCACCAGCAGCCGCCAACATCCCCAACGTCATGAGCGCGCGGAAGAGCACCTCCGGGTCAGTCTGGCGTTGGATAACCGCCTCCGCTATTGGGTAGAGCTGCATCGGGACCTCCCCGTCGATCGAGTCCTTCTCGTTGAAAGCGAGACAGGCGTAGTTGAACGCTGCTGAGCTCAGAGCGATCTGAAGATTGTTGTTGGCCGCGCCGATGGGGTCGGCCTCGTCATCCGCCACGCCCGCGATGCGCGCTAAGAGGGTAAGGATGGCGGTTGCTTTCGAAGTCGCGAGGGCGCGACCTTCAGGGGTGGCGAAGAGGTTGGTGACTGCGCGGACGGCCATCATGACGTTGTTGACGTTGAGCTTGGAGGCGTCGGCCGTTTTGATAAAGTCGGTCAAGGGGCTGTCATCGGATGAGATTGGGTCCTGGCTGTCCAGGGCGCCGCGGAGGATGATGTCGATGACGCTGCCGTATTTGCTGTCATTCAATGATGCCGAACCCGGCCATGCAACGAAACAACGGAGGACATCGAGAGCCGGGAGCCGGTCGCCGTAAGGCCATTGCGTGGCGAGCATGTAGATGTTGCGCTGGGATTCGAGGAGTGCTGGGGGGCTTGTCTTTTGGATCGTCGTCCCCATTGTCGTTTGAAGGACCGTCTCAAGGCGTTTGACACCATCGGGGTTCAACGCAATATGCTTGTTCCCCGCCAAGACATGCTTCTCGTTGAGGCTCTTGAGCTTCTTTGTTACCGGCTCCCACTTGGCCTGAGTGAGAGCGAGGTACTCCGTGTGCGGTAGGTATTTTTTCGACTGTTCTATCTGCTCCGCCTGATACCGTGATTCTGTCCCGAATGGGTCGGTAGAGGGGGCCTCAGCGCTCTGGTCAATGGTTGCCCCCTTGGTGTTGCTGACGATGAACTGGGCCACTTGATCAATGTAAGATATGGGAAGTTCGTTGTCCCCTAGAAATTTGGTTGCCGCCTCGTATGGGTTGTCGGTGAGGTTGTACGGCAGCTTGAGTGGCGGCTTGCCTTCCTCAATGTCGACATCAAACACGTAATCGTATTCTTTGCCGTTATATTCGACCTTCCGTCCGCTGCTTCCCGTTGAGTCCACCACCATTCCGACGTGAACCCACCGCTGTTCGCCTGCCGAGCGTTAGTACAAAAAACTTCGCTGAGGCTGAAGCGGGCATCAAACTCACCCAACGACCACTGATAGGCCCCGATGTTTCCGTCGTCCTCGAGAACAGTGGTCACTTGGCCATCCTTCTTGCCTGCATTGTTGAGGAGCCAGGACTTCGGGTTCAGCCGTTCCTTGTTGATCGAAGGACCAAGCTGCTGCTGGGGGATGGCGGATGCCCGAACCGATTCCTCAAACTGGGATAGAGCTTCGGCCGGTGCCGTGCGATCCGCGTTGCGAGTGAAAACGCGGATCATGTTATCGCTGGCACCGGAAACAATGTCTCCATTCTCGGGGCAGACGGCAACCGACCATACCGAAATGGCGGGGTGCGTTATTGTTTGGATACATTCGGAACCCCTCCAGATGCGGACCGTTCGGTCCTCCCCAGCACTGACGATTTCGCTCGTGGGCAAGCAAGCGAGAGAGTATATGAAGCTGTCGTGGCCCTGCAGAGCCCCGACCTGGGTACCGTTCATTTTCCAAAGCTGGATTATGCCATCGTTTCCGGCGCTTGCAAACTCGGCCCCGCTCGGATGTCCCTTGATGCCGCCAGGGAGCTTACATATGGCGCGGACGACGGAGTTGGTGGTAAGCGTACGTCGTGGTTCGACCTCGCCGTTGGGGTTGGCTTGACGAATGTCGAAGATGCGGATATGGGTGTCTGCACTGCCTGTAATCACCGTGTGCTCGTCGTAGGCCAGGGCAGCCCAGACACTCTTGACCTCGCCTTGGTGTACGAGTTGGGCCGAAATCTGCCACTTTTGGGTATCCCAAACGAGTCCCTTTCCGTCCCAGCCACCAGATACGACGTAGGTTCCGCGGGGAGACACATCTAGGGTGCATACGTTATGGCCGTGGCCAATGAGGAGACGATCGGCGTTGTCGGTTGTGGTTAGGTTCGGTCGTTTCGCTTCGATGATGGCTTCTTGACCGGCTGAGATGACCAGACCGTCAGGCCAGTCGGAGGAGGCGCGGAGGAATGTAAGGGAGTTTATATAGCCGTGTCCCTGACTCGTTATGGTGTCGTCAAATGTTGTGGGCTTGTCGGTGGTTTTGTGCCAGCGACGGACGGTTTGGTCGCGGGAGGTCGAGAACACGGTGTTCGCGGCTGGGAAGCAAACAGCTCGGACCTGAAGGTAGTTGCATTAGTTGGGCGCCATATTCATGCCAGTGCTAAAAACATACATCCGCCTCATGGCCCTTCAACTGGGCCGAGAGCTTGAAGTCCGGCATCTCGAATTGCCAAGACAGACAATGTGCGTTGGTTGAGGTGGGAGGGCGGGGTAGTGTGTGCACTTAGAAGTTACGGCAATCAGTGGTGACAGTGAAAGGGTGTGATTAAAAGGTGATAAAGCGACCTGGTCAATGTAATAGTTGAAGCCTAAACGATCGAGTAAACGAGCCAAAGTTGGGAGTCAATTTGTCAGGAACAGCGAGTGCAGTGGAATTAATTGGAATGCCTGCCAGGCCCTTGGGGATGACGATAGCAATGGATGCTGGGCCGGGTTGCGGAACAGACAGCTACCTGAAAGTGGGGCAGCCTGGCGGGGTCCTCCATGCTGGAGGCCACAAGGCAAGGAGCCTGCCAACTTTGCCATCTCGTCGTCTACACGCAAGGATGTACCTATCTGTCTTAGAACTGCTGTCTTGGAAAAAATCATCGATAGGTGTTGAAGCCAAAAGAAGAAACCGGTGGATAGGTAGCAGGATATCCAATGTAGAATAGGTACATACACGGTGTCGCCAACGCCGGAACCATGACATTAATCCGCCCGGGGCACCGGGTGTAAAACACCCATCACACCATCTGACCTTAAATCGAGCCCTTGAATATCCAGTGGTCGGGATCTCGATTTCGGAGCTCCTGGTTGGATTCAGCACATCCCATCCACCAATGTTCGCAGGAGGGAAGTTCAGCTGTAACCGCATCCAACCAAACGGCGGGGGACCGGACCCGCCCAACTTTGGCAAGCTCGCCCCTGACATGTGGGAACACCCCGCACTGGGTCGAGAGCGCCGCTGGCCGGTGCTGTCGCGCATCAACTCCTTCCATTTCCTGCTGCAAATTCTGCCCACGAGCGGCACCAGGCGTGACGAGCACTTCGGCCTCTTCCCTCGCCTTCTTCTTTTACGACACGACCACTTTACGACCCGTTACGAATTTCCGTTCATTTGGTTTTCTTTTGTCCCCCAGGTTTTCGGGTTCTTCCACCGACTCTAAGAGTAGAAACGACTGTCGCCGGTCTTGTTGTCACAACCGCGAAGACGGTTGTAAACGTCCTGCATTGGAAGCATCGACACGATACGATCGCCGACTCGCTATCTTACACCATCCCCATTCCACGATTTCAAAACATTCCTCGAACTTCAGCATGGGAGACGCTACCGCCCCTCGCCAATACGTGCCCCTGACTTGCCACGGCCACTCGCGACCAGTACCTCATTTGAGTTTCTCGCCTCTCGAGAAGGAAGATGTGTACTACATGATCTCGGCTTGCAAAGGTTTGCGAGACATTCGTCTTTGGCGCCCTTTCTTCTGCTGACTGAACTGCCATGCAGATGGCAACCCCATGCTCCGCGATGGCCAGACGGGCGACTGGATTGGCACTTTCCTCGGCCACAAGGGCGCTGTGTGGCAGGCAAGGCTGAGCCCCGATGCTACGACTGCTGCAACCGCATCTGCCGACTTTACCGCGAAGATTTGGGATACCCACACCGGCGAGCTGCTGTACATTCTCCAGCACGATCACATTGTCCGCGCTATCGCCTATCCGTTTGACCAATCCGGAATGATTGCAACGGGTGGGTTCGAAAAGAAGCTTCGCATTTTCGATCTGCACGATCAAAAGCCCCCCGGCGAGTCGGCATCCGGCAGCCCTGACGTCGTCACCCCCGCCACCATCGAAACATCGCGGGCGTTTGAGATTGGTGAAGGCGTGCACAAGGAAGCCATCAAGTTCATCGTCTGGGCACAGGACCCTCGCGTCATCATCACTGCAGCTGGCGATACTCTCCGTTGGTTCGACCTGCCGACCCGCCGCTGTATTCGCGAAGTGAAGCTCGAAGGCGAGATCAAGTCGTGCGAGCTGGTTTCTCTGGCGCAGGCACATAGCGCTCCCACGGATATTGGCGGTGGACTCCCCGTTTTGGCCGTTGCGGCTGGAAACACGGCATACTTTTGGGGTGGTTCGAGGGCTGAGGATGAGTTGAAGCACATCAAGCTTTCTCATGGTATTGCAAGTGTCGCGCTGGATTTGAAGGGCAGGAAGTTCGTGGTGGGGGAGGAGCCAGGCACTTGGGCGCGCGTGTACAGCTGGGATGATACCAAGGAGCTGGACGTGCACAAGGGCCATCACGGTCCCATCTGGTCGATCGCGTTCTCACCGGACGGAAACCTGTACGCGACTGGGTCGGAGGATGGTACCATCAAGATGTGGAAAAACTGCGAAGGCTTTTACGGGCTTTGGCGAGGGGGCGTGCCGGGTAACGGCACAGACTAGGAGATGGACGAACGCCCTTTCGACAACCCGCCTGACGATAACGTCACAGATATACCTTGCAGTAGCACCTCATCCAGGGAACACAGCCACGTCTCTCGAGCTGAAGCTGGTCGTTTCAGTTCCGAGGCCACCACGGTGTCTCCAGCGGGAGAGGATTCTGGGCCTCGGAACAACTCTTCGCCCAAAAAGATCGACAAAACCATGTCACCATCGCCCCCTAATCGTGCCTCCGAGTCGACTTGTTCTGACCCCCTCTCCGGTTACCAGGACGCCGACAAACCGTCCCGGTCGAGCTGCGCCTGTCCATCGTGTCCCCAACACGGCGGCCGGGCGAAGTCAGGAGAGAATAAAATGGAGGAATTCATACGTCGATCGGCGCGTCATATGATCCATGCAGCACGGCCTCTAGATTGAAGAGGATGTAGCCATCGGGCTGGGTTTCAGTTGCTGTTGGTGGTTATTTATTTGCCTTCTGGACGGGCTGCTTATTTCATGTTAGACGGTCACTCGTCGAACTGCATATTTTGCACTTCTAGTAATATGGCTGTTTTAAGATGGATTCTTAGATCTGCCTGAGGATTAGCTCGGGTGTCCTGTCGTGGGGGACTGGGCTGGTTGATATGTTCTGTAGCGAGTGTCGCGGAATTTCCGGTTATCCAGTCCCTGTAGAGAAGGCACCAAGTATAATTGAGTAACAGTTTTTTCAACGGCATGGGCAGGTGAATGCATCTCATGTGTGATGTACGCATGGCATCCGACATGTTCGTCAAAAAGACCTGGCAGGGGTAACGTTATGGGTATTTCCAAACGAAATCCATGACATCCACAGGGCACCTCCCTGGTGGGGCCGCGGGGCACTGTTCCACGCGTTGCAGGGTCGATTCTTGGCGCGTCTCCAGCTTCCGCAATTGATGAAGCTTATTACATAACTAACCTGGAACGATTGCACGCGCATCCTCTTCTGGAATTCAGCAATTGTTACATCTTACTCGAAGCTGCGCGATAGCTTACCGCCCAATTAATTCGATATCACTATTTTACACCCGCTTTCTTAGACCCAACTTTCGATATGGATGACGAATACGCGAGTTCCGAGAACGAGCAAGATGAGCTCATGGAAGATGCCGAGGACCTTGAAGCCGAGAACGACGCCGAGGAGGAGAACGAGGACGAAGAGGAAGACCAAGACGAACAAGACGAACCCGAACCAGGGCAAGACGTGGAACCGGAAGCTGAAGCCGAAGCCGAGACCGAGTCGTTCGCTACGTCTCAAGCACACGCCCCCGACGGCCAACCAACCAGCCAAGTCACGGTCGCGAACGCAACCGCTGCGCCCATAAGCCCGACGCTCCAGAATCGATGGCGCCCGGTTCTCCGGCAAGAATACATCGACGCCCCGCTCTATGACATTGTTCCCACCATGGCGGCGCCCCAGGCGACCAGCGTTAATGCCATGGCGATCACCCCCGACCTCCGGTACTGGATAACGGGCGGCTCCGACGGCTACATCCGCAAGTACGACGGTATGGGCACAATCAACGGGAAACAACAACTCACTGTCGCTCAGCGGCATCCGTTCGTCGATAGCGTCGTCAAGGCGGGCATACTCATGAGCTACTGGGAGAACGAGGAACCGTCGCCGCCCAATGCGCGCGCCGAGGATAGGGTTCTGTCGCCCGTATACAGTCTCGCCGTGCACAGCGGGGCACTGTGGCTTTTGAGCGGACTGGAGAGCGGCGGGATTAACCTGCAGAGTGTACGCCACGACGAGGGGAAGAGAATACACTGTCTGCGGGATGGCGGCCACACCAACGCCGTCAGCGTGCTCCAGCTGGCCTCTGACGAGAAGAGCGTGCTCAGCGGGAGCTGGGACAAGACGGTGCTCGACTGGGATTTGAACACCGGCAACGTCATAAGGCGGTTTGAGGGCAGCGGAGGGCAGATCTCGGCCATCGAGTTGCGTCCGCTAAGTGGGGCGCCTATCCCGGCTGAGGCGAGTGAGGTTGAGATCAAAAGCGACACCTTTTTTACTGAGACTAAGCCCAGAGTTAACGGCTTCTTTCAGAATGGCGTCGCGGACGAAGCGGGTGGCGGGGAACACGCTGCTCGTAGTGGGACAGGTGCAGCCGGCGATGGTACAGGGTCGCCTGAGCATGAGTCCCTTTTCGGTAGTCCCGCTGGGTCTCTATTTGGTGATAACGACACTATGGGTGGCGGCGGAGGCGGGGGGGCCTTTGGTGATGACGACGATGAGTTCTCTCGTGCCATGGATATGGGACTTCACGACGATTCCAATCACCACGGGCTGGACCACTCAGGCGACTTCACCATGGGCGACACCGACATGGCCGGGGGCGGCTCTTTAGACATGGGCACGCCCACAGCAACGGCAACAGAAACCGTCCCTCCAACACAAGACGGCCTAACCACAACACAGAGCGAATCCAACGGCGACCTCTCCCGCAGTGAGACAATGACCGCCGACACCGCCCACGAAATATCAGTCGACTTCACCCAGCCATCCACCACCACCGAAGCCACCACTCAACAAACTCCCCCCCACCACCACCACCACCTCCGCTCCCACCTCCCAACAACCGCCCAACCCGACCGAAACTCCCCGCCCCACATCCTCCCACACCACCCACCACAGGCGGCGGCGGCGGCGGCAGCGGGCAGCGGCCAACCCCTCCCTGGTCTTCACCTCCGCCGCCCCCCCCACCCCACACGGACCCCACCCAATCCTTCCGCCAGCACCTTCCTCTCCGCCGCCATCGACGGCACCATCCGCCTCTGGGACCCGGCGCGTCCCCGACCTCCATCGCGCGCACTCAACAACCGGGCGCGGCGTGCCCCCCTGGTGGCATGGGCCGCGTGCTGGTCCGCTCCGACCGGCAACTGGGATCCTACGCCCGGACGGGCGCCAACGGCACGGTGGAAGAATACTCGATCCACAACGCGACGAGCACCTGGCTGCCCGAGCGCGCGCTCAAATTCCCCGCCGGCTCCGGCGCCGTCAGCTGCGTGCGGCCCATGGCCAACGGGCGCCACCTCGTCTGCGCGTCCCACGACATCCTGCGCCTGTACGACCTGCGCGACACCTCGGCCTTCAAGCACAGCAAGGTGCCCTTCATCATCATCCCCGGCCCGCCGCGCGCGGGCGTCATCTCCCAGCTGTATGTGGATCCGACGTCGCGCGTCATGATCTCGACGGCGGGGACGCGCGGGTGGGATGGCACGTCGACGGAGGTGCTGATTGGGTATGAGATTGGCGTGTCGAAATAGGAATAGGGCGCGCCTGTCTGTGGAGTAGATGCTTGGAAGAAGGTTGGGGTTGGGGTAGGTTAGGCTCTGCGTGGTGTGGTGTGGTGTGGTCAGCGATGATTATGCGTATAGGATAAGCGGTAGGATGTGGTTGGCTTGGGAATACCCACATGGGATGGCGTTTTGGTTATTTCTATATACGAGGGCACTGGGGATCCAGCTTGTTGTTTACTTCCTTCACCACCATTCGGGACAGCTCAGGCTCGACGTAGCATCACATCACCAAATCAAGGAGTTTGGCACTGCACTGGTGATATGACAAAACAACGCTGATTCAGCTACGCTAACATATGTACGCTACATGCATGTTGCTCCGCTTCCCTACCCCTGACGCCTGACCGCCCCCAAGAAGCAAGTCATGGTGATACCGAAAGGCGGTGGGGGGATAGAGGCCTGTCCTCCGCCAAAGAACTCCTGCTAAGACCAACAGGGCAACCAACCCAACGCAGTACAAACCCAAACATAAACGAGCGGCCAAGTGAACGAATACAACCAGACAGGGAGAAGAACCAATATGGTAGAAACCAGAGGCCATGCCCCTAAGCATCCATCGACAACGAACGCTAATCATGAGCGAGACTAGCGGCGAGTAACGCCGAAGATCAGAGGTCAATCAACCACTCCTCTTCCTCGTTCTCCTTCATCTCCTCGGCCTTCGGCCCACCATGCTGCTCCTCGTTTGATGGTGCCTGGGCGGGAATATGGACTGGAGTCGTTGGCAACAACCTCGACGGCGTGGTTTCATTAGACACGGAGCTGCCCGCCGTAGAAATTGCCGAGGAGGGCGCGAGAGGAGCAACTTGATTGAGGGGATGCGGTGCCATTTGGAACCCAAGTAGGTCGGCATCACTTTCGTTTCCCCCGTGCTGGGGAGCTGTGTCCACGGGGGGGGCATCTATCAGGAGATCGAACTGACTGGGAGTCGGCCGAACCGCCGCCTGCTGCGCCTGAGGTTGTTGGATTGTGGTGGGTTGAACAGTGGATGATGATGTGGCCTTCTTGGATGAGTTCTTCCGATCGCTTTTGCCTCCGCGGCGGCTAGATTGAACGCTGGGAGGCTGGTTGCTGCGTGTGGCGGTATTGCTAGGGTGTTCCGAAACAGGGGGAGCAGCGGGTTGAACATGATGAGGTTCGGGTCTTCAGGGCCAAGTTGGCAATGCCGCCCTGAACACCAGATGGCAGGTCGCTGCCGGAAGCACTAATCAACTTTGTTGTAGGCCAGTTTAACCTTCTGGGTGGATTTTACTGCCGCCTTCAATGCGCTGGGCCTTTGCCAGGGATGTAGGCTGGTAAACCTCATGAATGACCGACCCCGTAACTTGTTGCTTTTCTGTGGCGGGATATTCCTGGAGCAATACCTGATCATGCTTCTCGATATTCTGGACAAACGCCTCCCACTCCGCCACGGTTTCGGCTGGTCGGGGAACATCTTGCGCAGCCTGTGTCTGTTTATGGTTGCGACCGTCTTTTGAAGCGCCAACTTTCCCTGGCACACGTGGCGTCGGGGCTGGCTTGCTCAAGGAGGCCTTTAACATCTCCGTCTTTTCGGCACCCATGAGCACCAGCTTATCCGCCAACGTCATGGGCTTTTTGTCGTCCCGTGCCCGCTTGGCCTCCGCCTCCCTGGCCTCCTTGAATGCCTTGCAGTCACAGAAACATTTATGGCCACACGACTCGTGGCATCCGTGGCCGCAATCAAGCTTCTTGTTGCACGGCTGGCTGCAAGGGAGGAAAGTGTGGGACAAACTACACAGCGATGTTAGCAAACGCCGCCAAACGACGAGGTATTCCACTTACGGATGGCACTTGAGAGTGCATGGGTGACCACATTCTCTAGTCATCCCGCAGGGCAGGTCACAACCACCAGCGTTATCACCCCAGTCCTCGATCTCCTTTATCCAAATCTCTCTGTGGTGAACCTGGCATGTAAGGGGAAGGCCATGCCCTTCATCAAGGCGCCCCTGTTTGGAAAACCCAGAGCAGATCTTGAACCAAAGGTCGTGTGAAACCTGGTGCGCTCTGAGGGCATTTTTGACATTGCCAAAAACATAAAAGCCCCGACGAGCACGGCTGATGGCAACGACTGCACGGCGCTCATCCTCCAAAAAGCCCACGGAGTAAGCGCGGTCGAATTCCGGGCTACGAACGAGCGATAAAAGAATGATATCGTTCTCCTCGCCTTGGTACGAGTCCACGGTGCACACGTTGAAAGTCCGGCCCATGAGCGAGGGGTGCCGTTTCAACTTTCTTAGCAATACTTGCCGCTGGCCCTTGTAGAATGTGAGAACCGTGATCGTCTCGGCGCGGTTACCGTTGGCCACGAGGTATGCAAAGAAGTTGGTGACCATCTCGGCCTCTTGCTCGTTGAACTTGCTGAAGCCTGAGTTCACATCCTCGGGCCACATGTGATCGAAGAGCCAAGAGTTACGCCCTCCCATTCCGAGAATGTCAGGACGGTTGTTAATCGAGTCTACGGAGGGATGGTCGTAGAGCTCCGGGTAAAAGGGCTTCAAGATCTTGCGAAGTTCCGGTTTCATGCGGCGTTGCTGTTTGAGCATGACGAAGGGCATGTTCAGGTTGACCATCCTTTGGAATAGCGACACGTTGAGGTTATAAGGAGGGTCGCCCAGGCGCTGAATATCACACTTGGGCGCAAGCTGCTTGTGGTCTCCCACCAAAATGAGCTGTTGGATGGAAGGATACAGAGCGGATACGATGTTGGCCTCGCGGGTTTCGGCTGCCTCCTCAATGAGGAGCGACTGGGCATTCAAGGCTGCAAGGCAGCCGCGGTACTTTGTCAAGCCTGTGGTCGTGCAACCGACAATGTCGATCTTCTGCTTGTCGACAACCTGGGTGTTTCCGAGGAATTTGAACGTCTTGCGTTTCTTGCAAAGGTCAATGTTCTCGGCAAGCAATGCAGCGAACTTTGGGGCCATGGCATCCAGCAACTTGCCCTGAAAATATTGGTAAACAGCGCCGCGCAAGTCACTGTCGATGGTAAACATGTCCTGGGTCTGAAGAGCACGAGCGACGGCGCGGTTCCAAGATGTCAAGTTTGCTGGGTCCTTGCCTGACCAGACGTGCCTCAATGGGATGACTTGGCCCCGGAAACGAAACGCGTCTTCTTCGTCATCGGCGATGTTCTCGATGTCCTCGTCATCCTCAATCTCAAACTCAGGGAGGTTTTGGCGGGCCTCTGTTTCAGTGAGCTCGTGCTGTGTGGGATGGCGGTCCTCTCGAATTTTGGCAGGAATGAGGCTTTCCGCCAACCAAACCGCGAAGGGACCATGGACGTCCATGGCCTCGTGAGTTTCCATGGATTCATCGTAAAGGGAGTCGTGTTGGTCCTGCGTGATAATCCCGAAGTCGAGCAAAGTCTTTGGCTCCAGGAGCCGGTCGCTGAAAAGCTGATGAACGAGCTCCTGGATTTTCCCGGCGTTTACTCGGCGCTGGTGGTCGACGGAGCCGCACTTCCTGTCCGCGGCAATCTCGCCCTTGGCGCACTTCTGGCGTAGCTCAAACAGGGTGCGGGGTTTGATGAGATCATTCTGGGTTCTTGCCCCCAGCCGAAGAACTTTCGCGTCCGAATTGATGCAATGCATGAGGATCTGGTCCAGGGCATGGTTCGTCTGGGCGGCCACTATGATCGGGGGGCCGCGGCGCCTGCGTCGATTGGCGATCAAAACCTTCAGTGCTTCGACGGAGGTGAACGTTTTACCGGTGCCCGGTGGACCCTGCACAATGGCCAGTTCTTTGGAGATGATTCGATGGAGGCCAAGGAGCTGGGACTCATCCAGGTTGGTGAGGCCCTTCAGGTCTGGCAGCTCACCCCTGAGGATGTCCTGGTTCCTGAGCTGTGCGACTGCCTCGGCGTCTTCCAAGGTTTTCATACTGGCAAGAGAAGAGAGATCGGCGACCGGATGTTCCTCGAGAAACTCGGGATGGCTGTCTCTAGTATGGGCGCCGGTTAAGTACTTGTCCAAGGGAGAGCTGCGAGACGATGATGTAAGTAAGAAGTTGTTCGATGGGGGCCGTGGTCGCGAAACTCACTCAGTTCTCGCAGCATGTTGCAGGCCGATCAACGAATGGCGCGCCGACTCAAAGTAGCCATGCAACGACTCGATCATGACCATCTCGAGGTTCGGGTCGAAAACGGCATCTTTCGGGTCAGCCCAGATGAGGTCCACGAGCGGGGGGTCCTGGTCGAGGCCGTCGCGATACGGGCGCTGAGCGATGGTTGCAACCTTGCAAATCTTCTTGAAGTTGTCACTCTTGGGAGAGAGTGCCACGATCTTCCCGGGCTGGAGTCGTTTCGATTGTTTCCATTGGATGCGGAACTTGGACCGCTCTGTGGAGAAGGAGACTCGGACAAGAGGGCCGATGGTTGACATGACATATTCCCTGACCCGCACCTACCCGCAGGTTAGCAGGTCTAATCGGAAGAAGACTCCATGGAAACTCACCTGAGTGTAGATGTTGGTGAAGTCGTCGTCCATGGCGGAGTCTCTGCGGCGATTGTCTGCGAAGCTTCTCACAGAATAGCGCAGTCCTTCGACGGCCTCGCGCCGGAGGATCTCATACTGAGCAGTGAGATACTCATCCTTGGACGCCCACGGAACATCGACTGGGTTATCGGGAAGGTTGTCGATATCGGACTGCTCAGCCAGAATCTCAGCGGCAGTGGGGAGCTCAGGCTTGGATAGCCAACCCTGGCCATGGGGGCTGAAGAAGACATGGCTTTGGACAATGTCTATGGCGGACTGTTATGGGCGAAAGGCAATGGGTCAGCAAATTTCCGGGGCTCAGGCTGATTGCGATGACGGATCGAGAGAACTGACCTGAGTTTCTTCGTTGGTGCCAATTATATCCATGATGGCTATGACTACTGGATTCTCAAAGACACTGAAGGTGAAGTTTCAGGTGAGATTCCAAGTGAGATTCCAAGTGATGATGATCAGATCGAGAGGGACTGTGACATGATTGACGAAGCAAGCGAGACGAAGAAGGAAACCCGACGAAAAGTGAACAAAATTCGGGGTTTGTGTGGGACGAATGGGTGCAGCAGGTTGGAATTGGAAATGCCAAAGGAGAACCAATGTTTTTTTGTTTTCCCAGGTACCTATCAGGTGAGTCAGGTGCTGCTCATTTTTAGAGGGGTAATTGTTCAGGGCTTTCTTGAGATGGAAGTCGAGCAGGAGAGAGCTAGCAGTGTTCAAGCTGGGTGTTTGGACAAACACGCCAGGGCAGAGAGGAAGGAACGAAGGACAGCAGCACTGGGGCTTTCACGCTTCCAAGAACTGGATCACACTGCCTGGGCGGGTAACAGCAGTGCCTGCCTATCCAGGACTCCAGGTAATTAAATTCCATCAAATTCCATCATGCACGATCTTCCGCAGTTGTGATTGCCCAGGTGCAGATACCCGTTTTGACAGACTGTGACTCTTGGGTGATTTGTTGATTTGGTTCCCTGGCAGTTTGACTGCATGTGCGAGATGGCAATAATGCCTTTCACCATTGCTTCACGATCGCCATTCGAACCCCCCACAAAGACATTAGCATCGTAGGTACCTAGTTAACCAGGGATTTGCAAGGGGCTAGAACTTCAACCCAAACACACAGGGCTTCTCACTGGAGGTTTCCACCCTTGTCCTCGGCGATGTTGGTTGTTGAATCGATCATGTGAGTACATGGAGGTGTCGTCACTGTGAATTGCCGGGTACATGCAGAATATGTCACCAAGAGAGGGGGCCATGCCGTCACTGACAATCTTTGTGAAGCCGTTCCTGGCTCTGGCAGCACGTCTCTCCATGCTCCCCACACTCCCCACACTCGGTTCAATTACACGCCATGGCCCCCTTCCCCCAATCAACACCTTCTCTACCAAACAGTAACAGAAGAGGAGCCATTGCTCGCGTATCCCTCAGTAGCCACGATCTGATCTTTAAACGCCCCAAGCTTCAGACCGCGCTCTTTCCAAGCAGCGAAATGGTCGGCGACGGTAACGCTGCCGCTAGAGCGCTTGTTGCGGCGGACGGCATAGTACTGGACGATGGTGGATCCTCCAATCGGTAGGCCGTAGCGGATGTTTCTACCGAGGCTGTATTCACTCCCGTCCGCCGTATACGGCTCGAACCGCTGCTGGGCGTACGCGGATGGGTCAAAGGTGCCGAACGACTCGATGATGTAGTACTCGACCAGCGGGTTGGTGGCCCAGCCGTAGATAGCCAGGTACCCGTTCCCCAATGTCTCGAAGGTGGCGTTGAAGTTGATGATCCGCGATGACGAACCGGGGTTCCTGTTCTCTGTCAGTCGGGCATCTTGGGGCTTGTGTGGTGTGTGTTTTACTCACCAGCCTTTGCCGCCGACAAAATTGCCGCAATCCTGCCATTGGACATTGTAGCTGCCATCGTCCTCATTTTGGTAGTTGACGGTACCGCCGCCGTCAGTCCAGAAATAGTAATAGTAACCGCCATGCTGGCCCGATGAGCTAGGGGTTCCGTCACGGGCTAGGAGGCTCCCTGCGGCATTCTTCCCGCGTACGTGGGCCGTGGCCGGCTCGGTTGGGTTGAAGGGAAACGCGAGGGCGCTGGCGGCACCAAGGAGGAGGGCTTTCAAGGTGACCATGGCTGCGACCAACGATTTCGAGGCTACTAACTATCGGGTGCTAGCTGAAGATGGTGTAGCGTCAGGATCTTGGAGGGGTAACCTGGCAGTCATACTTGTATCCATACGAAGTACTTATACGCAAACACGGGGAACGTGAGATTATAAATGGCGCCCCAGGACCCATCCCGTCATCCCCCTAGTCGATCCGTCCATCTGGCGCCTGTCACTGACGGCCATTGCCGCCCGCATGTGTGGCTAGGCTTGTGAACACCAGAGCCCCGCAGTCTACTGTCTTGGCTCGCACAGATCCGGGGTAGATGGGGAAGATGGGGGCTTCATTATTGTGCTCTTGTTTGCCTTGAATCCACCCCCCAGGGCCGGGAGAGGTCGATGGCAAATACAGAGAAAAACCAGAAACTGCGTCAACTTCCACATGGCTAGCTCCGAGATTCCTTTTTTGAGAATGCGGGGGGTAGTATCGATCCGGAGCGAACGATCCTCTGTCCCGATGAGGCAACATTTTGGTCCCGCCCCCACAAGGGTTTCGTGGTTCTCGAGGTACATACCTAGCTTCGGTGAAGACGGCCCTCCAAGGCCTTGGCGTTTCAACGTTCTTGTGGTAACGTTGCCCCGTGGTATCAAGAGGGCCGAAGTTTGAGCTTGCCGAGCCTTCTCAGAACATATCCGGGTACTGAGTCCTGAGCGGCCAAGTGAGTTACGAAGGGCGCAACGACCGGCGCCCCGGAGTTATATTAGGCTATAAGGGGGGAAGTCACCCTCCTGGGGAGCGAGTCCCAGGGGCTGTGGGTGGTGGCTGACCCGGCTCATTTTAGCCTGTCTGTTTGTTGCAACCCCAGCGATTGGTGAGACCGCACGAGCGGGTATTGCTGCCGGCAGTGACATGGCCATGATGGGGCGGAATGGTCAAGTTAAGGGAAACTGTGAAAAATATGGCAATTTGTATCCACCACTTCAATAAAGATACCCATGACGGTAGTTTGACATGTTTATCTCGGAGAATTAGAGGAGCCGGTTCTAATTTGGTCCTCTTTTCCGGATCGTTAATTGTATACCCGGCTACCGGGTTACAATTCTTACCATGTTACACTGATTAACGTTAACAAGAATCCATCCAGGTCTATTGCAACTCTGCCATCGGGTGAACGACCCGGGGCGGAATGTGCGGGCCACAATAAGATCTGGGTTTGTCCGTCTCTGTTGAGTGATTAAGTTAGGTACTCAGGCAAGCATGTAACGATCTTAGTCTAGGTCTATTATTGGGCCAACGCCAAACTTGGGCTTCCATGGTGCTTGTTTCTTATCCAGGTTGTCTCCGCACTACTTCTTAAGTTCTATCTTACATCTTCCCACCTTCTTTACTTTCCCAACAGTAATCTAAAGCCTTGGAATGGAATAAGGGCTGTGGTAAGTCCAAGTTCGGTATTTAAGAAACCCCACAAAAGTTATACCCGATCCCCTCCTCCTTCGCCTTATCCCCCAACCCCGAACGTTGGTCTATCAATTCCCGATAGTGCTGCTCTGCCTCCTTAGGGCCGATCGGCCACCAATCTCCCAGCTCCTTTCTCACCATATCAAGCACCTCGACCGGCAGCGTCCCCTTCCCGGCCTTGTCCTCCAACAGCGCGTTGGCAACCTCCTTCCCAACAAGGCCGCGCTCAGCCAACAGCAGCTTGACTTCCGCCGGCATACCCGCCAGGGCCTTCTCCTTGTCGCGCCGCGCCGCGCCAAACACGCTCTCGTCCCACCAGCTGCGCTGCTGCGGCGGCACGTTGGCCGTGCTGATGATGCGCGTCATGGGGTCGACCAGCCACAAGGTGATACACCGGCGGTGGCCCGGCTTGGTGGGGTCGGCGAGGCGGAAGCCCGAGACACGGTGCTGCAGGGTGTTAGGAAAGGCAAGCAGGCGGCCCTGCGGAGTCAGGACGCTGCCGTAGTTCTGCAGGTTGGTCCCCTCCCTGCGGCCGGGCCCGAGCCGGGTGTTGTAGATGCCCTCCATCCAGGAGTAGTCCCAGTCCAGCCCGGCCTGACGGAGTCGTCGGGTACTCTGAGTCCGGTAGGGGTCCTCCGTGAAACAGCGGAATTCGAGGTGGCTATCGGTGATGTTCTCCGAGTCGAGATAGTACAGCGCCGTGGCGACAATGCGCTCATTCATTTGCCCTCCGACGTGCCACTTGCCAGGAGAGAACTCGGGGTTCTCGGGGGTGAGCTCGATGGAAATCATCTTGACGATGGTCTGGAGGCCACCAATGTGCCTGAACCTTGCGCGCAGCTTTTTGTAGGGGTCGTCGACAGCATAGTTGACTTTTCTCGCGGAGAAGACTTTCGGCCGAACCTGAACCGGCTTGCGGATTTCATGCCAACGCTTCTCCAACTCACTGGGATCTTCGTTGTCCAGATGGTCGTAACTTGGCTCCCCGGCCGATTTGTTTTCACCCGTTGAGTCTGGTAGCTTCCCCCTTAGGTTTTCAGCAGCTTCCCTCTCTAGCATTGCCGGTACTGAGTCTGCGTCCCACCTCGGAATCTCGGATTGTCAAGCCTGAATATTGTGATTAGATGTCGAAGTAGAACCAACGACGGAGCAGGGGCAAATGCAATATACGCACTCGCATGGTCTGGGGACGCCGCAGTGAGGCGTCGGATAACGAGGTGCGCGGCGCACAGGCTGGATGTCTTCAAATCTTCCAGAAGTTCCGAACCCCCGTAGAAGGCACTGGTCCCACATGCGGAGTGCCGTCTCTATGAGCTTCTCAATGGCGCTGTAAGTGTCGTGGTATTTTTTCGGGTGAAGATTGTTGATGTAGCTGGTGAATCGCACGCCACCGTCGCCCGTGATTGCGACGTTCGCGGGGAGCCAGTGGTACATGGTGGACAAATAAATGCGCCTGTTTTCAAGCGACATGGGGAGTTCCCCAAATCGTGGGTAGCCTTCCCACATCGCCGGTATCCTTTCAATGGACGGGCCAATATCGTCGCTCAATTCTGGCGGCCTCGGGATCACCGTTCCTTTGCCGGCAAACTTATCAACAGCATCCTCAACGCCCACGACCTCTGGCCGAAGGACGAGCGAACGACCGTACACGAGTGGGCACATGGATGGGTCAACGAGGTTCTGCACCGTCTTGCTGGTATTGGAGTGCCAGTCTGGGTTGGGCCCTTGGTCGGCCTTCAGCCGGGCAAAGGACCCGCGTAGGGCAGACTGCAGCTCCTGGGACACAAGGCCATCCGACTTTGCAATGCTAAGGCTCGCATCGAGAGTGACCGTAATTCCGGTGCGCTTGAAGTGCTCGGCCTTGTGTCGCGGCTCCGGGATACACTACCGCAGCAAGTACAGAGCAAAGTCAGAACCAACTTAAGACTAGAGTCACTGGGGCCGGCTATGAAGGCCATCACTTACATACTCGACGCACTCTTTGTCCAAGATGGGCGTCGGCATGCGTACCGGTACCTCATCGTCATCGTCATCGTCATCGTCTTGTCCACGAACGCTAATGCGGCCCCACAGGTCCTCGTCCGGCCATGCAAGAGCTTCGGCTTTCCACTTTGTGGCAATCTCGTCGTCAAAGACCTTGATGTGCCAGTTTGGCTTGTCGGTCAGGCGGTCCATGACCAACAACATAGCCACCTCGCGCACCGGCATCATCAACGAGTTCCCAAGCTTTCTCTTATAGATTGGCAGAGGATGGTATCTATCACCATCCGTGTGCATCCATCGTAGGTCCAAACCCCAGCTGGGGTATCTAGGCATTGTGGTATTGGCTGTGGTGGCTGCGGTAGTTTCTATCGTTAAAGTGGATTGTCCAGCGATGGGGGCAAGGATCTGGCGATTAGGGCGACGCCTTGGGTTTGTTCCATGGTATAGAATTTGAAGGGTGCGTGGGAACAACGCAGATTTATGTAGATACTAAGTCACCACCGATCTTGAATACCTAAGTACCAGGTAACGTAACTACCTGGTAAGCTTTTAACATGATTATCAGGTCATCATGATGTTAACAGTGTTTAATATGATGTCAGAATATTGAACTCGAGTCGCGCTACCCGATGCTAGCTTCAATTCATCAAAAATCTGAATCGGGATGTCTCCTATTCTCTGTGCGGCTCCAGGACGTCTCGTATGAGATTGCAGACACTCGCGATTCACTTTGTGTGCGAGCCCGTGCAACTATTGCAAGGAGAAACTATCACATAATTAAGGGCATAGTTGTTTTAATATTTAAGCCGTTTATCTGGGTACAACGCGAATATCGCGTTGTAGAAAGAAAGGGGTTTTCTAGGGCGCCATTGAAGCCTTCCAGTTCTTTTCCCATGTCATCCAGCAGTATACTTCAATCAACTTCCCCTTCGCATTCGTTGCGTATACCATGCACGTATACGATGATGCGCCAGAGGACACCAACCCAGATATGCTCTTGGGGCTCAACAAAAAGGCCCTCCCACGATTCTACTTCCCCCATACTTGAACAACGTCACCCCGGTATGTATGTACGGAGGTCGATATCGCGGCCAAGTTGAACGCTACGATCGCCACCAACCCCTCTCCCATCAGTACCCACCACACACGCCGCCCCTACTACCCCGCGCCAAATCACAGTTCCAAACACACCCTTCCGCGTTGTCTCTTATTAGCCCGGCGTCGGCGAGGCCTGCCCACGTGTGCCGCCAGGCCGTGGGAGGTCACCATCCATACCTAGGCTTACCAACCCCACGGGGGCGCGCAGTCTACACCGTCGCGACCGCGGCCGCCCTCGCCGCCAACGGTAGCGGCTTGATCTAGGGTGTCGGGAACCTCTGTCTTGCGAAGAGGGGTGATCCCAGGCCCGGGGTCAACGAGCACCGCTCCGCGCGCGGGAAGTTTTCGGCGTTCTTCGTTTTCGCTCGTTGTGGCGAAGTGTGTTCCCCCCTGGCGGTGAGCACCGCGATTAGACCGGCGGAGACCAAGTCCGACGCCGGTTTGTTGATAAGGATTTATAGATCCGCTTGAGTGGCCTGAATGGCGTGGGGAAAGAGGCCGGGGGGGAGGCAAATCGTTGGGTGCCGTGTGATGTGTGAAGCAAGTAGACATGTTAGACTGAGCAAAAGGACATCCTTGCCCTGCAAAGGCCAGGGGCACCCTATATACTGTGACAAGATACGCCCAGTGCTTCTTGGCCCCAATTCCCAACCTCGAACCTTGACTAGAACGGCCGGGTCGGATTCCATCTCACGGCGAGCTGAGCTCTGGCAGTGCTCGTCAACCAACAGCTGGCTGGCACAGTGAGTCCTGCTGGCCTCAACTCGGGCCTCGAACCAGTAGTGGGGTACAGCATATACAGGGAGACCCGCAAGCAGCAGATAAGATGAGACCGGGGTCCTTCGCCGGCTGGAAGCATTGACTTTCAAGCTAAGAGATGTTGAGCTGTGTACGGTAGGTTTTCAGAATAAAAATGAAAGCATTGACCGCTACGGAATGGGCGATGATGTGTCGGTCCCCTTGACAGGGTCAGCGTTGCTTGACGGCGAAGTGTCCGTATTGGCGGGTAGAATGGATAGTTCCAGGCTCTTCCCGCGTCTCACAACAAAGGTTAGCATTTAGCGGAGGAATGGGCAGCGAACCGTGCGCTCAACTGTTTCAATTCTCAGGACAGAGCGGCCTGGGTCCTCGACCGTGGTCTGAGTGTGACCAGAAGACCAGGAGTCAACCTTGCGCGCCTGCCGTATTTGATTGATGAGGCACGGAAGGGGCTGAATAATATGATATTCTTGACTTGAGGCTATTAAATCTGGCTGACAAGAACGCAATGAAATCAAAACGTGTAATGACGCTCGAGATCTCAATCATCCTTCTTCTGGCCGTAGACGACGTGACTAAGAGTGTGTAAGCGCCTGATAGCAACACGGTAACCCGACCGGGACCCTCGACAAAATATACTCACAAGTCAAACTGGGCGTGCAATTTCGAATCCTTGAGTTCGTTTCGCACTGCGGCAAGGAGCACAAACACCTCCTCCCTCTTCCACCCCAGCACCTCGCAGAATATTCGTAGCGAGAAGGCCTCGAGCCCCGTCATGATTTGCGCGATGTTGTACAAGCCAACCTGCTTCAGATGTGCGTCCTTTGGCCAGGAGCCGATGGGTAAACGGAACTTTTCGTGCTTCACGTTCGTAAACCCGGCGTCCCGCACCCACCCTTCGAGCTTAGGGCCGGGACACGCCTCCCGGCCCATTTTGCGGGTGGCCTCCAAGAACGTGTTGATCCATGTCAGGGTGCTTGATCCGGTCTTGAGAGAGCCGTCTTCCGAGTAATATTGCAGGTCGAAGTCCTCGAACTCGGCCCAGCCGCCAGGGGTGAGGTTTCTGTCATCTTGTGAGCAACCGATTCACCGGCGCATCTATGAGGGATACGGCTTTTGTGGGATGGATTCGACGCACTCATGGACCCTTCCAACAAGCTTAGGCCAATCGAGAATGGAACCGGTCATGTACCGGCAAAAGATGAAGTCAAAAGGCATCTCATAAACCCAGGGGCATTCAATGTCGTCGATCTCGAATTTGACGTTGGGTGGCACCCATGGTGGCTGTATCGCACTCAGGTCGTTCCCTAGAATCTGCGCGGCTTGTTAGCAGCGTACCGGGCGGCTCACCCAACTTGTTTGGTTATCTTGCCTGAGCGATGTTGGGATACTCGTCACCCATCGCCATGCTCCCTATAGCCATCGCCGGGTCAGTATCACCCCGGTAGAGACCGCAACCTGGAGGTGGAGCCCGTACATATTCCCGTGCCGGTGCCGATGTCAAGCACGCGCTGTAGCTTCTCCGGGTTGATGGGAGCAAGAAACAACTTGTCGCCGATCGCCTTGGTCATGAGGGCATGAGACAAATCGAGCCGGTCTTGCTCAAGATCGTCATTTGGCATGTAGTAGGCTAAAAAGTGTTAGCCGAGTTTTAGCGTTACACAAAGTAGTCGTAAAAGTCAAAGTGACTGCGTACCCCCAGCTCTGAAGGCATGGTAACGACGGCCGTTCTCGACCGGGTAGTCGAGGATGCTGGATGTAATGGAAGCCGTGAAGGCCGAGCTGGCACTCTAGTCAGTATCATCAAGATGAAATCACGATCATAAAATAACTTACAGATCGTCGCCGAGAAGGGAGTCGTTATCGCCCTGTGAAGGCCCGAAATTGACCAGGTCAGTGCCCGTACTTGTTTTCTCACGGCTTCCTCGGGGCTCGGGAAAACGCGAAACCTACCCCCTGGTCAATTTCGATGTGTGCTTCTGGTTCTGGTGACTGACACATGTTTGCGAGATTAGAAGAATTAAACCCGGGATCTGTTCTACGGAGGATAGATGTCGTGTCGGTGTAGCAACCGCGTCTCAGGGAGGAACGTGGCTTTCGTTCCCAGAAGAGCGAGACCCGGGCAACAAATATGAACAGGGTCCAAGGTTCGATTCGGTGAATCGAAGAAAGGTGTGGCGTCGAACCGCAACAGCGAAGCGGGGGTGGTCGGCACCTTAAATTCAGGTCATTCGCCGAATCGCCCGATTGTGGTAGGCCAGCTCGCAGGCCAGGGCCAGTTTTCTCGACACATTACTGCCCGGGGACTGGATGGAAGAAGAGGTGTGACTTGGCTGCGACAGCGGCATGGGCGCCCGGTAGGAAAGCCAGGTTTGTGGTTGGTTCTCTTTTCAAGGTGGGTTCAGGAGCGAAGAAGTCCCTCTGCAACATCGTTCATCCCTCCCGCACGTTGGCAGGTTGGAGACCCGAACCGACGCGGAAGGCAAGGGCTGCATCCGTTGCAGGCAGTTGTCCCAAGCTAGCGGATTGACTAAACCTGTTCGGCGACGGCATGATTGCCAGTTCCAAAATGAAGTGCCGGGGTTGGTTTGGGAAAAAAACGCTTCGTCGGAATTTCGTGGGCTCATCTGAGTCAAGAACTGCAAGCCGCCTGCCGAAGCAAGACTTCGGAATTCGGAAATGTCGTGCCCTGCGGCTCTCAATGTGGCTGGCAGGCTGCATTATGGACCGTACGTGTGCGGCAACTATACTGTGAGCCGACGAGAGGGGTGGGTGGCCGAGCCCCCGGGCCTTGGGTGAAAAGCACATCCCGAGCCACCCGTTGGCCGTTGACCCGGCAGGCACGGCCCGCAGAGCGGCAGTGGAGCCCCGCTGTGGTATTCTGTGGGGAGGTGCCAATCATCTGCGGCGAAGCCCCCCGTGCCGCTCGTTTGATTCAGGACCTGCGAGTCAAGAACGTGGGTTTGAAGAACATCCAGAACAGCAGAATAAAGTACTGTGTGGGAGGGTAGGGATGGGGAGCGGAATCCGGGGTCGGAAACGCCAAGCTCTTTGTAATACCAGCGTGATGTACTTCAAGGCTTCGTCCTCCCCTCTTTTTGATCCAAAGATACGGGGAAGGTACCGACTTCAGGTAGATAAGGACCTCATTCCGTAGCGTCGCCTGTTTTTTTTTTTTTTTTTTTTTTTTTTTTGTTTCTTCGTTTTTATCTCAAAATTTGGGCTGGGATTATGGAGAATTGGCCTGGCGAGCAGCCATCTCGAAGGGAGTCGGGGGGCTCTGCGTCGAACCACACTTCGTGGCTTCGGTCCGCACCGGCTTCTGTCAAGCACGTCGATCACGGCCTCTTGGCCGCTATCAAAACTCACCTTTGCCGCTTTCAACTGCACGGCACGGCTAGGCTTTCACTCTTCAATTCTGTCAAGCATGGTTCGTTACATAGAAGGCAACGCTCCGCTTGCAGGTCACAAACATTGTCTATTCTCGAGCCATCGCTGGCGCCGTATCACGCCTTCCTAGCGGTCCTAGGGTGTAATTCATGCTTGTGGAAAGTTGAAGAGAAATAGAAAGGACAACTGCAACATTTGCTCTGCCATTCGATTATTTGCCGTGTTACCGTTGCGATCCCGATCAAAGGCAAAACTATTGAAAGGGGTTTTGAAGTATTTAGTCACATACTCTCCTATTTTGAACTAGATGGTTGGTTTCATCCGCCTCCGGGACGGTGAATTTGGTCCAAGGCGCAAATTGCCGGTCCCTGGATGGCGGCGACTGCGGGCGCTTGATGAGAACGGGGCCTTTGCAGGTCCTGGCAAACACACCCACCGGCTTTGAACAGTAGTCGATATGAGCACTCGGCATACCTCTTGAAGTCATCGGCGAGCATTGTAACCGGATATTGTTAGGTCATCGAGTGCTGGTATTACTGAGTGTGGTAACCAAAAGCCGCCGCTCTCGAAAGGCGTGAAAATGTGGTGTCATCCTGCCCATCGCTTGGTGTAACTCGTGAGCCCGGCCCGTGGGCAATTGGAGAAACGCAAGATGGAAAAGCTGGCTCGGCGTCGGCGGGTGATGTGGAGAATTCCAGTGGAAACACAAGATAGAGAAACTGACTCGGCGCAGGTGGGTGATGTGGTGCGATGCAGGTATCGAATTCTCATCGGACATCTTCTCTGCCTGGGGCCGGACATTGGTGCCCTCAATTTTGTCAGCATCCATGCAAGGACGAAAGGCCAGAAGGCTGAGTGAGACGGGCGCAATCGAACTTGGCGGGCGACGTGGCGGCTCCGACTGGGTGGAGTGAGGTGTGACCCGGCCCGGGTCCGAGAAGCAGCAAGCTGCAGACTGCAGAAGCCAATGCCGCGAGTGGGCCGCTCGCGGCGCAGCTGCCTGGAGCGCCAGGCTCTGGCTCAGATCTCCATGGGTGGGAGTTCCTCCGTACTTCGTAATGGATTGCAAAACGTGATCTGGGCGCGATGAGGTGATGCAAGGGAAGTTGTTGAAGCTCTGTTGATCGCTGCTTCGATTGCCCCCGCGGTCGGTTTGGCAGGCCCCCGCCATTGAGACCTCCGACTCAGCCCATTGACCCCGCAAACCTTGCCCCAGCATTGGCAGTGACCGAATGACTGAATGGTTAGCAATTATTCCGTTCGTATCTCCGCCCGATCTGCCTTGCCGGCCGAGTGCGGGCCTGCCTGGTGAACCTGGCCGGGTGAGGCCAACGCCACCGATACCGATGGAGTGAGGACGGCCGACGAGACTGCAGGTGGCCGGGAGCCCCGGGCAATTGCCCTTCTACGCAGTGGTAGCGCGAGGCAGCCGCTGCATGGAAGGATTGCTTTGACTCCAGCGGGCCAAACAGCGATCGTACAGCGGAGCCAATGAGGCCTGTGAGTCACGAGCCGAGTTGTGGAGATTGGCCTTTCAGCTTGCCCCAGGCCGCAAAGATGCTTGTCCTGGCACTGCCTGGCTCACTGGCTTAACCTGGCTCCCTTGCCTGGCCTCTCCGGGAAGCACACCAGGCTTGGAATTTGGCGGGCTGCAGCTTTCCCCATAAAAGCTTGGTTCCCAGCCTTCTAAAGCCCTTACTGAGAAAAGACAGCCAGCCTTCCTACCCTCACACGTTTTGTTCGGTCCTCCTTCCCAGCGCAACTTTTGCTAAGTGGAAGTTCGTTCCGACAATGCCTCGTTGCTGGCCCTTATTGAGCTCCCGCTCCAAGAAGGAAGCGGGGGGCTCCACCGAAAAGTCGGGGAAGCTGGCAGACGGCGGGTCCAGTGCCTCCACACTTGCGACCGACGCCAAGGGAAAGAGCGACACCGCGAAGAAGGACGAGAAAAAAGACGACAAGAAAGACGAAAAGAAGGACGAAGAAAACAAGACAGAAGATGACAAGACAGAAGACAAGAAGGAGGGCGATGATGAGGTTAAAGACGGCGAGGAGAAAGATAAACCCAAGATCATCGTCGGGTCAGTGGGTGAGGCCAAGAACATTTACAAAGGCTCGTCGGACGACGATGGGAACTGGACCTGGGTCGACAAGTATCCCGATGATGTCGAGGAGGCTGCCGAGAACGAGGAGACGGCCAAGTTCGCTGTCGTTGTGCGAAACCAAAAGAGTAACGACAGCCGGAAGAAGCTCGAAGCCCACAGCATTATCGTGCAAAGCCCACAGATCAGGGCAGCCCTGTCCGAGATCTTCGCCGACTACCCGGGTGTTGCTTGCGAATTGACACGCCTCGAATTCGAGGCCCCTTTCAAGCCCTTCGTGCACCGATGGTACGCGACCTCCCTTCCCCCGCCAGGACTCCACCGGGCACTTGCAACGGAAACTAACATGGCAACAGGACCGAGTTCCAGAAGTACCTCGAGAAGCCGGACCTGGATGAGAAGACCAAGGAGCATATGAAGGTGTTGGTTGACATCCTGAACTACGAGATCGGCGACGACGTCAAGACGTTCCAGGATTACGTCAAGAACGGCGTCGTGTGCTTCAAGGACCTGTGGATGATCTTCCAGCCGGGTAACGTCGTCGTCTCGGCGCATCAGGGCCCGCTCAGCGCCTTCGAGATGGTCGAGACGGAATACATGCAGAACAACTGCGGCAAATTCCTACAAGTCCGCTGCGACTGCGTCGACTACGGCGGCAAGGAGTTCGGCCGGTACCAGGAGGCGATCAACATCCCTGAGTTCATTGGCACCAAGAAGATTACCGGCCTCAAGGTGTATCCCTTGCATTTCCACGACGACAGGGAGGGGGTTACCGCCAAACTAATTAAACGCGGCGCCACGTTCGAAACGCTGGCGGGCCACCACTACAAGCAATATGCCGGCAAGGCCATCACGTGGGACCGCGAGGGCAATGAGGTGGAATGCCAGATCACGGGCCGCATCATCGTCGACATTGACAGCTTCAACCGCTTCAGTCCCTGGCGTGTGCGCTACCTCACCGACTTCAACGCCAACGACCTTGACAAATTTACCAAGCACAAGGAGACGATCGGTGTCTCGGACGACAAGTTCATCCTGCCGCCCTATTACCAGATGCTCGCCCGCTGCAGGACACGCGGCTACTCGCTCAAGTTCAAGAAGTGGCTCGACTTCTTTGTGGAGCAGATTACCGAGGTGGTCTGGAACAGCACCGCCTTCGACAAGCTGGTGTTGCCCCCGGACCAGAAGGAGCTTATCCTGTCGTTCTCCGAGTCGCAAATCGCGGGAAGCAACTTCGACGACATCATCCAGGGCAAGGGCAAGGGCATTATCTGCCTCCTGTCCGGTCCGCCCGGCGTGGGGAAGACGCTGACGGCCGATGGCCGTGGCCGAGAACCTCAAGGTGCCGCTTCACATGTTGAGCTCGGGTGATCTCGGCTCGGATCCGTGGGAGGTCGAGCGGGAACTCAACTCAATCCTGGAGCTCGTGGCGCGCTGGAACGCTATCCTGCTGCTAGACGAGTGTGACGTGTTCCTGGAGGCGCGTAGCACGCACGAGCTGGAGCGCAACAAGATCGTGTCCATCTTCCTGCGCACGCTCGAGTACTACGAGGGCATCATGTTCATGACCACCAACCGGGTCGAAGACATCGACGCCGCGTTCCAGTCCCGTATCCACGTCAGCATCGAGTACCCCGACCTGACCTCCGCTTCTCGCCGCGCCATCTGGGGCAACTTCCTCCGGGGGTCGACCATCAAGAGCTCGCTCACCGACAAGGACATCCACGAGCTGGCCGAGCTCAAACTCAACGGCCGGCAGATCAAGAACGTGCTCAAGACGGCGCAGCTGCTTGCGGCCCGGAAGAAGAGCGAGACGCTGGACCGGAAGTTTATCGAGACAATTCTGATCATCGAGAAGAAGCGGCCAGGTGCCCCGCAGCAGATGATGCATTACCTCTAAGCGGTCGGGTTAAGGGGACGGTGTTTGGTCGGTTGGGATCACGAACCATGACGGGAACGGTACACCCGGAGCGGGTGTTGTAAATCTTGGGGAACATAGTGTGTTTGTACATATACCATTTATCCAGTGGCCTTGGAAAACGGGCCTGTATTTTCTGGTTCATCTTATCCACATATTCATTACTTTATCACCAGTTCGTTCCAACTCGTCCTCT